TTATATATGATCATGTGTGTTCTAAAGGTGTGTCCAAAGCAACGCAATGCGAATTTTCGTGACGCCCTAAATGAGCCACGGGATCGTTTGTGTTTATTACAAATATGTCACTCATAGGATGAAAAAGAGGTACCATACACGCCAATGACGATGTCAACGAGGAAAGACAACAATAGCTTTTGATTGTAATTCTAGGTGCTGTGCTGAAATTTCGATGTCATGTCCTTCCTCCTGCATGCTGTTCTCAGGTGCCAACACTTGCCAGAATGTTCTGGAAATGTTCCTTGTTGTATATGCAGCTGATACAGACAATCTCCTACTGTGTTCAATAAACAGCATATGAAAGACAAACTCATGTCCATAACCAATTTTCCATACAGCGGCTCATGATATGAACTGGGAAGTCGTGAGTCAGGTGCGAGGGAATGAACCATGAGAAGACACACCCTATCTGCTTTGAGGGAGCTTAGATGTTATTTCTAGTCTTGTCAATATTGCACACTAACTGGCCACTATCAGCACTGGCAGAAGGAACAGAATGTATCCTTTTCCTTTTTCTTTTATTCATGATGTTTGTATGGATAGCATTTTAAAAGGAGAATGTAATGGATAAAGCCCTTGGTGTATTACCATGCCATATGGCTCCGTGTCCGTCCCACAGAGTAGCCAGAGTCTTCCTGGCTCCATCCCACAGGTTGTTGGAGTAAGCTTCCCTCAGCTGATTCTTCCTCTGTTAGAAGAAAACATCAGGACAGGTTGAATCAGCAGCAGATTACAATTCTTATGATCTAAGATCATGGTCTAAATCTCAATCTCATCTCACTCATCAACATGTCCAAATTGATCTAACAGTAGATTGCTGCACTTGAAACAAGGTTAAAAAAAAGTAGTACTTAGTTTCTTCATTAATAATTAGTGACATGAAATAAACAAACCAGAGTGTCATGTCCCATTCCCTATAATAGTCAGATGGAATGATGTAGTAGCACCTGAATGTTATGTTCGTGCTTCCTAATGACCACCAACATAAATGCATTGTAATAGGGGGCCTCCATGTTTATTCTCCTCTTCTTTTTACACAACTGTAGTTTCCCTTGCATCTTAACATTACTTATAGCCCCTTAACAATGCGCCCCCTCCCGCAGACAGACACCATTTAAAATAGGATTTGTGAATATGACCTATACAAATGAAATTTGATTTGAAATTTTAACTGTGCTAGTGCATAGATATGTGAGGCATTCCAGAACTGCCAATCAAAGGTTTTATTTGTCATCTGCACAACAGATACAGCGTACATGTTGGCAATGAAAATCTTAAATCCCAGGCACCTCAAGCAACTCAACATGCAAGTGTCATAAAATAAGAGTAACTAATAATACAAATAACTTACACTAGTGCAAATGAAACAATAAGTACAAATGTCAGTACTAGTGCAAAAAATT